AGGTTCAGCGTGACAGGGTGCGGGGCCAGCTGGTCTAGACCGGGCTTTTGCCAAGGAAGGTTGGAGCAGCTGCTCCTTGAGGTCCCTCCCAACCTGGTACTCTGTGATCCTGTGTGCTCCTCGTTACCGAGGGGTGAATTAGGACAGGAGGTGTTACTTGGACAGTCCTGGAGGTCACCTGGCCCTCTGGGGGTGCAGAAGTAGGCAGCGCCCCGCGTGCCTTGCAGGGACCGGCATTCAGTGGCGGGACCTCACGAAGCCCATCAGCGTGGACGACAACTTCACCTTGGCCCACGTGCTGGGCATGCTGCTCCTGGACTCGGTGCTGTACGGCCTGGTGGCCTGGTACGTGGAGGCTGTCTGCCCCGGGGAGTACGGCGTGCCCCAGCCCTGGTACTTCTTCCTGACGGTGTCCCCTCCGCTGGGCTCGGCGGGCACCGCTTGGGCACGGGCTGCTCTGCAGTGGGCTGGGCTGGCCTACGAGGGTGGCACCCACTGACCTCCAAAATCAAGGGGGCTGCAGCGTGTCCTCAGTAAAGGGTGATGCGGGTGGATTTTTTAATTGATTGTGAAGGTTGTCTTGGCTCTGAGTCTTCATCCTGAAGCTTCTTGGCGTGCGGGGTGTCAATAAGTGTCTCCATGCCCAAGTGAAGGCGCTGGAGAGGAGCCCCGGGTGTGAGCAACCAGATCCAGTCATTTGAAACTCCCTGAATGCTGCCATCCCCGTGGAGCTGGGCAAGCCAGTCCCGCTGCCAGCCCCCACGTGCTGGTGCCAGGGGCTGGGTGACGACTGTCACCCTGTCAGCTGAGCCACCCTCACTCTGCCAGGTCAGATGCTTGGCACCATCTTCAGCAGCTCTAGCTGTGGTGGGCACTGCAGCTCCGTTGACTGCTGAGATTCCTTAAGGCACAGGAACACCATCACTTTGGATCCTGTGGATGTGTCCCTTGTTATTTGATCGGGAGGTTTTTCCTCCTCCCCTCTAAACTCCTTCTCCCAGCGTGGTTCCACTCCAGCATCCCACCCCCTCTGCCAGCTAGACCAGGTTAAGTGGAGATGCAGCTAAAAGCCAAAAGCCACAGTGATTTGCTGATTTTGCATCCAGGAGCTGTTGAATTATTTCCACAGGGATTTATGTTCCCAAGCACTTACTGTGCATATTTTATATCAAGGATAAATTTAGATTGGATATAAGGAAGTTCTTCACTGTGAGGGTGGTGAGCCACTGGCCCAGGTTGCCCAGGGAAGCTGTGGATGCTCCAGCACTGGAGGTGTTCAAGACCAGGTTGGATGGGGCTCTGAGCAACCTGGTGTAGTGGGAGGTGTCCCTGCCCATGGTGGGGGTTGGAATGAGATGGTCTTTAAGGTCCCTTCCAACCCAAACCATTCTGTGATTCTGTGTTTCTGTTTTCATTCCTAAAGAGTCAGGTCAAAAAATTTCAGCAGCTGGACCCCAGGCTTTTTGTATTTAGTGTATGTCAGGGGTTTTGGAGGAGGTGTTCATCCACGGCTTGGGCTCTTCTGGCCAGGTGGCTTCTGCCTGAGCAGTTTTGCTTCTCATTGAAGTCCTGACATTCTCCATGGGTACGAAGATGGGGACAGGCTGCCTGTGCAGTGACAGACAGTCCTGCTGTAAGGGAGAGCCTGGGGGAGGCAGCAGGGTGCAGGGGCAATTCCCATGTGCTGGTAGCAACCAATGTGTTGGTTGGCAACTCCCAGGCCCAGGAGAGTGGTCTTGGAGATCCCTGGGAGGTGTCTGCATGGGAGGAGGAGAGTGGCCAAGGCTGGGGAGGAGAGATGGTCTCTGCCTGTGCCTGATTTTTTCACTCTCTACTTTCTTCCCCCAGCCCTCATACTGGTGTGCGCGCCCCAGGACTGTCGTGGGCAAAGAGAAGGAGGAGGAGGAGGACCCTGAGAAAGCTCTGAAGAGCCAGTACATCGAGGAGGAACCTGCTGACCTGGTGTCAGGCATCAAAATCAAGCACCTTTCCAAGGTACCGACCGCCCAGCAGGGCAGGAGCACGTCCTGAGGCTGGGCTTGGGAAACCTGCTGCCTGCAGGCAGCTTCCCCCTCACTCCAGGGCACATCTCACAGCCCTGGCCTCGAGTGCAGCATCAGCTCCTTAACACCATCTCCACAGGTCTTCAAGGTGGGCAACAAGACGAAGGAGGCGGTCAAGGACCTAACAGTGAACATGTACGAGGGGCAGATCACCGTCCTGCTGGGACACAACGGTGCTGGCAAGACCACCACTCTGTCCATGCTCACAGGTAGGAGCCGTGTCCTGCTGTGGGGCTGGCACGTGGCAGGGAGGGGCTGATGGCTTGGCATGGCTTGCATAGAGGAGCTGAACCCCACCTCTGAGGCTGGGGAGGGGTTTTTGCTCCTCTCTGGAGCACCTTCAGTTCACTGAGCTGTTGGCCAAGGTAGTGAGAGGCACGTCACTGCCTGGGGAGGTGGAGGGAGAGTGGAGGCCCCTGCTCAGCCCTCCACACGGGTGGGATCAGCTGGTGGGGGAAACAGCCAGTCTTTGTGTCAGAGAGCCCTGAGAAGAGAAGGGACCTGCTGTGAGGTGGGTCTCTGTGAGCCTTGCCGTGATAAGGCAGAGGGCACGGGCCAAGGACTGGTCGTCATCATTCTGGAGCCGCTGAGCTCCAGGCAGCCTATTTTGGCATGGTGACCTTTGACATTCCTCTCTTCCCTGTTCTCTGTCACACCGTGCTGCCCCTGCCAGCCCAGGGTGCTCACGGGACCCTCCCTGGAAGCCTGCCCTGGCCTCGCCTGGACCTCTGCCAGGCTGGGAGCCAGGCTGCCTGCCCACTGCACTCCCTGCCTGCCTGCTCCCAGGTCCACCCCCTGCCTGGGGATGGGGGTGCCCCCCAGCCCACCCGGCGGGTGGGAGGAGAGCGCTGCCATGCCCAGCGT